AAGCTCTGGGCAGGAGCGGGGCTGCGCCGAGCTGTCATGCTCCCGGCCCCTCGTGAGCAGGGGAACCCGGTGACCCTGAGTTGGTTGCAGTGTGCAGAACAGGAACCCAAGGACCCCAGACTCTCCTTTCTGGGCAGGAAGTCTGTGAGGAGGGGCTTCTCGGCAGGCACAGTGCAAGCAGAGCCCTGCCAGGTGGGGCATAGGAGCGAACGGAGTGGGAGGGACCTCTCCTGTGGCAGAGCCAGACCCCACGCAGGCAGGCAGCCTGGGAATGGGTGTGTGGGGAGGGGAGAACCCCGCTTTATTGCCCAGGAGGGACCACTCTGCTTGACCACTCTGCTGCCCCGGCTGGGAACGGCCCTGAGGAGTGGAGTGCAGGTGGGGCAGAATCCTGCCTTCTCTGCTCCACCCGGGGAATCCTGCCTTCTCTGCTCCACCCGGGGAATCCTGCCTTCTCTGCTCCACCCGGGGCGCTGCTGCTCAGACAGGTGGAGCTGGTTAAGGACAGGAAGGGGAGGGCCAGGGCAGATGGCTAATGACGGCCAGGGGCTCCTTCCACAAGTGCCCATGCAGGCTGCCCTGCACAGTGTGCGAGGGGCCAGAGACGCACCGAGCTGCTCCTGGCTGCGTTAGGCTGCACATCCTGGGCCCAGGCAGGGCGGGCGTCTCCATGCCAGGAAAGCCTGTGTCTCCACCTTTCCTTGAGCAGATGTGCATCGCTTGGTGCGCTTGGTAAATCGCATGAGAATCAAATCCAGCGTTGAGTCCCCTCGGCCCAGGTGGTCAGGTGGCCGGGTGATAACTCTGATGTGCCCGAGCCCAGTGCCCTGGACCCCCCACTGTACCCCAGTCAGGCAGTGCCTGTCTTGGCGGGATAGCGGGTGGCAGAACAGGATGGAGGGCCCCTCCCCCACCCCCAAAGGTCCTCTGATTGAACTCTATGTCACCAGTCCATTGGTGGAACCCCCAGGAAGCACCTCCCCTGGGGTATGCCTGTTTCCTCCTGTAGATGGAAGGAGGGTGCCATGTCACTGACCCCCCCCCCACTGGCCCAGGTGTAGGGCCCACCCCTCGGCGCGGCCCCGCTGGACCAGAAACTCCTTGAGGACAGAACCTAGTAAGTGCACCTCGCATAACTTAGTGGCTCCCCCTTCTGTTTTCCCCGTTAGGGGTGGAGGGAGCTGTCATCTGTCCCCTGGGGATGGCAGATGGCCGCTTAGCTTAGAAAGGAAAACAGCACAATTTAGAATTAGTCCCGGGTGAAAGGTCGAGGCAACATCTGCCTGCGGATGCTTTCTGGAGTCGCATTTCTATGGAGTGCAGAGTGCGCCGGGGGGAGGGGGCGCTGGGCACAGTGGAAATATTGAGGCCGGAAACAAAGCGCAGGCCAGGCTGTGGGACAACAGGCACAGCAGCCATTTGGCGCTCCTCCGGGCAGGCAGGCGTCTGCCGGAAGCCCAGCCCCTCGGCAGCCCTTCTCCGGCAGCCCCCAGCCCCACCTGTCATTCACCTGCTGCCGCCCAGGACTGGTTGCCCTGGGCCGGGTGGGAGAGAGGGTGAGTGGGGGAGCTGAGGCTGGGGTGACCTTCAGGAGGGACCAAAGAAAGGAGAGCTGCGGCGGGGCACCTGGCATGGTGGGCCCCAGGCTGCCGTGAGCTTGGCAGTGTAGTGGACACGGCAGTTTCCACGCCGCCCCAGCAGCTGGGGTGTGGGGCCGCAGGAGGTGTGGGACGGGCCACTGACGCCCTGGCCAGGCATGTGCTGGGTGCAATTTCCCTTGCCAAGCCCGGGAAACCTGTCCCCACCTGGCACTTACACTGACCTGCCGGGACAGATACCGAGGATAGAATGGCCATGACGGGCTTGGTTACCCACACTTGTGGCCCCGGCTGTGTCCGAGCAGGGGCCTTGCAGTCCCTCCCACCTTAGGGAAGTCTGGTCGCGGTGGGCAGAGGAGGTGACAGGTGTCTGTCCCTGGGAAGATCCAGCGTTATGGGCACACTGGGAGACAGGTGGCACGGGCTGGAGGCTGCCCAGAGCTGGAGCAGGGGACCGGGGGTCCTGGGAGGAGAGGCCCTCGGCACTGGCCTGAAGCTGCTTCGCTCCCCCGAGCCCAGACCCTGCACGCCTGGCTTGGGGAGTCCTCCCGCTGGGCAGGCCTTGGTTGCACCTTGCACCGGCACTCCCCCACAAAGCACCTGCGTCAGTTGTCCCACCTCCAGGGGCGGCTCCTCCCTGTGGCCCTGCCTGTCCTGTAGCTGGGGTGTTGGTGGTGGATGGTGGCTGGGCCCAGGCCCAGCCCATGAGCCGCCCGGGATGGGCAGCATGCCTTCACGACAGTGTCCGCCAGGCCTGGGCGGGAGTGGGGAGACAATGGGCCCTCTCAGCTGCCGCCTTCCCCCAAGGAGGAGCCTCCCTGGCTGCTGCCCTGCCCGCCAGGGATGTGTCCCCCCTCCCGCCCCACTACCCCATGCCTGGCTGGGAGCAGCTGCTGCCTGCGTCCCCCGCCACAGGCGCACCTGCTTCCCGGACACCCTTTGTCCATGCTGCTGACGCCTGATTTATTGGGCGTTATTTTCCCTCTGGCTGGCCCAGCAAAATGCAGCCTGGCTGGCTGTGTGTGCTCAGCCAGTCGGAGTCTCCCACAGTCCTCCATGTTGGGGTCCCCATTCAGGACGGGGTGGCAGGAGAGCAGGGAGACTCTTCATGGGAACATTGCCCTATGGCTGGAGGGTTCTGGGTGCATATCTGGTCCATTGGGGGACACCCAGTGCCCCAACATAGGGCACTGAGCGGAGGATTGCTGTGGTGGCAGGAGGCCCCGGGCATCCCTTGGGATCGGTGACAGAGGCCTAGCCCACGCAAAGTAGGGCGCTGGGCAGCCTTGTGGGGTGGGCCTTCCTCCCCTTGGAGCTGGTGGGGTGGGGGCACAGAGGGCCAGAGGGAGGCGGGGCCGGGCAGGCTCCCACCCGCTGTGATGACCGAGAGCCCTCTGTGCAGCACCCACGGCCTGCAGGCTCCGGGCTCCGTCAGTGGCTGGGAAAGAAGAAAGCCTTTCTCCAAGTGGGAGCGGGAGCCAGCGCCTGCCTGACAATGGGGGGCATTGATAGGTTGGGGGAGGTGCCGCCTCTGTCCCCCCCACCCCCGCCCAGTGCTCTGTTCCCAGTGAGCTCAGGCCAGGACCAGGCGGCCTGTAACTGGATCTACACGCAGTGGGGGCCGCGCCACCTTCCCCAGGCCCCAGGAGTGTGGCCTTGCCCGAGCCCCAGCACTGAGGATGTGTTCCTGGGGTCTGCCCGTCACCAGGAGCCAGCCGTTCCTCCCCACGAGTGGCAGGGGCAGCAGCCTTGGCTCAGACCTGAGTTTCCTCCCGGAGGGGGCAGCTTGTTTGCTTTAAGCCAGTTGGTTTGGGACTTTTGGCTTCTGGCAACAGATGGTGGGCCGGAGTGGCCATTTTGCATCCGCCCTGCCCAAGCTGCAGCCACAGATACAAGCCGTCAGGGACGTAGATGCCTCCTAGGCTGCAGGGCAGGGCGGGGGCAGCCCAGTTGCTGAAAAACATGCAGACCCCGGTTCCCCAAACCACCCGCCGCCCCTCTGGGGCCACCCTGCCCATGCTGTGGGCAGAAGGGGAGACAGTGAAGACCAGCGGGCTGGCATTTAAGTAGCCACAGCTCCAGATGCTGGTACCAGGGGCAGCCCCTCCTGGGTGGGGTCAGGAAGACGGATGGGTCAGGGCTCAGGAGAGCCCCTTCTTTATCCAGGGGACCCAAGGCTCCCCACCACCCCCGCCCCCAGGTGGGAGAAGACCCCGCCCTCCCGTGCCCAGAGCTGTGGGCGCAGCATGGGGGCTGCCTTCCCAGGCTGCTGTGGGCGGGGCCGCGTTCTGCCTCAGAGGCTTTGCCCCTGGGAAGAGGGACGCCTGGCTGGTCCCAGAGCCTGTGCCGAGCTTTCCTGCAAGTACAAGGCCACAGGTGACTTCGGCTGCAGTTTATGGCCCGAGCTCTAAGAGCTGGACCAACAGGTGGCCCAGGGGGGTCCTCTGGTGGGGGGAGGCAGGACGCCCCCTCCTGGCTCATAGGCTCTCGAGGGGCTGGCACACACCTGCAGATGCAGTGGCCTTCCGCCTGCCCAGCCGTTCAGAGCTCGGGGAGGGCACCCCTGGCACCTCATTCCCCCAGCTGTCGTGTGGGTGGTTCTGTTCCAGCCACTGGACCATCTCTTGTGAAGGGACAAGCCGTGACATGATGCTAAGTGCAAGTGGGGATGGGGTGCTGGCCTGTGTCCCAGCGAGATCCCCATCAGGAAAGACCCTTGAAGAGAGGATTCCACATCACAAAGAAAATGGCAAGCCAGTCGATCTGGTATCTGTGGTCCTTCCACGTCTACTGCCATGTTGATACTGAAAGAAGAAAAAAAGTGAACTTTTTTTTATTACCCAGACAAGGCATATTCATTATAGAAAAGCTAAAGAAGAAAAAGCCCCCCAAACAAAAGATTTTACCGGGCACCCCTTCCCTCCCCTGGAGAGTGGCTGTGACTGGGCTGCGTGGCCCCTTTTTGGTGACTTGTCGAGGTTCTGTCTCGTGGGTGCGTTTTGAAGTCAAAGCTGGGTTCTGCCGAACTTCCTGGCCTCTAGCCCATTCCCCTAATTAAAATAACTATTCTTTTTTTTAAATGGAAGTGAAATTCACTTAATGTAAAATTAACCTCTTTAAAGTGTACCCTTGAGTGGCACTTGGCATATTCATAACGTTGTGTAATCACCTCCCCGTCTGGTCCCAGAACACGTCCACTGCCCCTCGAGGAGCCCCCAGGACACGGAGCGGTCGGTCATTGCCTGGTCTCAGGCGACCGCCCCCTGTGCCTGCTGCCTGGGTGAGGCTGGCAGCCTCTGGCGCTCCCCAAGGGGTAGCCAGGGCCCCGACTGATGCGGTGCTGAGTGGCAGGGGCGGTTGGTTGGGGGAGCCGGTGGAACTGACTTCTGCTGTCTACCACAGCTGCAGCGGGGCCTTCGTGGGCCAGCGATGCCAGGCGCACGATCCCTGCCTCAGCACCCCCTGCAAGAATGCCGGGACGTGCCTCGTGGTGGACCGTGGTGGTGTGGTGGACTACACCTGCAGCTGCCGCCTGGGTTTCTCCGGGCCTCTCTGCCTGACACCCCAAGACAACGCCTGTCTCGCCAACCCCTGCCGCAACGGTGGTACCTGCGACCTGCTGACGCTCACGGAGTACAAGTGCCGCTGTCCCCCGGGCTGGTCAGGTGAGAGACCCTCAGCCGGGCCCTCCCCCAGCTGCCCAAGGAACGTGGTGTGTGGCAGATGCCCAGCCCCTGCCTGTGTCTGGGAGAGGTCCTGGGCTATCCTTAGGCCTTTGGGGTCTGTGGTCCAGAAATAGCTCTGAGCATCCACCCTAGAGTCCCCATGTCCCTTCCAGCTCTTGAGTTGTCTGGTTTCGGCTGCCCTGCTCCAGGGCCCCCACCCCTCCCTGCCTTCTGCCCAGGGATGCACGGGCCCTCTGTCAGGAGCTGGGGTGCTAGAGTACAGTTTTTCAGAGTGTGGGCTCCGAGGGCAGACAGGCCGGTCAGATCCGGAGGCTGCCTCCTCATAGCAGTGTGTGTCCTGGGATGGTTACTCAGCATCTTGGAACCGTGGTCCCTTGTCTGCAGAAAGATAGAAAGACGGCCGTGTCCTGCAGTGGGGCCCTGAGGATTAAAGAGATGGGTCCATCCTGGGCCGTCACTCCCTCTGGGGGAGGCCCCGGCTGCAGGGACCAGGGCGGCAGCCTGACCCTCTCGCCCCCCTCGCCCACCAGGGAAGACGTGCCAGCAGGCTGACCCGTGTGCCTCCAACCCCTGTGCCAACGGCGGCCAGTGCCTGCCTTTCGAGGCCTCATACATCTGCGGCTGCCCGTCCGGTTTCCACGGCTCCACCTGCAGGCAGGACGTGAACGAATGCAACCAGAACTCCGGGCCCTGCCACAATGGGGGCACCTGCCTCAACGAGATCGGTTCCTTCCGCTGCCTGTGCCGGGCCACCCACACCGGCCCCCACTGCGAGCTGCCCTACGTGCCCTGCAGCCCCTCTCCCTGCCAGAACGGGGGCACCTGCCGCCCCACGGGGGACACCACCCACGAGTGCGCCTGCCTGCCAGGTACTGCCAGTGGCCAGCCATGAGGGAGGGCCTGGTTTGCAGGGATGAGGTGCCCAGTGTGGAAGGGCGCGGGGTGCCTGGGGCGGGGGGAGGCAGGCGGGCCAGGTCGGATGGGGTGTGTGGCCCTGGGTATCGTGTGCGGAGTGGGTCTGGACTAAGGAATGGTTTTAAGCCTGTGGAGGGGCCAGGAACCACCCCAGTCCCGCGCCTGTCCACTCCTGCTGGGGTGGGGTCTTGTGACTGGATAGCTGGGTCCGTGACCCTCAGTGCTCCTCCCCTGTGTCAGGGACCTGGGGCCCTCGCAGTCCCCAGGAGGGGCTCCTTGGTGAGGAGTGGCCCTGGGCGAGCCTGGCTGAGGGGCCTCCTTGGGCATCCCTTCCTGAGGCACCCCTGCCGTCCCGGCCCCTGGCACCCTGTCCCTGCTTTGAGCCTCCTGGGGCGGCGGGCACCAGACTGCGTCCAGCCGCTCGTGAGTGCCCCTCATCGTGAGTTCTCTGGAACCCGTGTGCACGTTGCAAAACTCCCTCACCACTGGCTGCAGGGAGCACCCGTCTCGCCTGTGCAACCTGGGGCTTCCCCCGTTTCCCGGGTGGGGTCCAGCTGGGGCCGGCACCGTCACTTCACCCAGCGGTGGCTCTTCCCTTCCTCCTGTCTCCCCGCTCGTCACCCATGATGGGTGGGGGTGACGGCGGACGCAGCCCCTTCCCCACCCGCTGTCCCTCCAGCAGTTCATTCCTCTGTCGTCCAAACTGCTCTTCCCGTAATCGTTTTTGTTTGAGTAAATTTTGTTGCTGATGATCTAAAAATAATAATGGCGAGGTTTGAAACCTCTTAAGTCTTGTCAGCTGCACCCCACGGTGGGGAGATGGGCGAGGAGGGGGACTTGGTGGGGTGTGGGTGCTGGTGGGGCACAGGGCCCTGCTGACCTGGGGGTGACCTGAGTGTCGCCTCAGCCCCCACGCCGCCCTGGCCAGCCTGGCCCCTGCAAAGGGAAGTGCTCTTCTCGCAGCTGGGCTCTGGGCCCTGTCACCGCAGCCCTGCCTCTGCGTGCAGACAGGCGCCAGGCGCGTGCATTTCCTGCATGTCACTGGGTACTCCCCTCGCCACCTGCCTGCCCAGAGCTGCTGGCTGCTTGGCAGTCTCTGGGGAGCCGAGGGCTGAGCCCTCTGGCCAGGCCTGTCCCCAGACTGAGTTCAAATGCCTTCTTGGTGGCTGTGACTGAGTTCAAATGCCTTCTTGGTGGCTGTGTGACCTTGAGCGTAGGACCTCCCCCAGCAAGGGTCGTGCGTGGGGCCTTGGTGAGGACTGGGGGAGGTGGGGTAAGGTGTGTGGGGCCCCCACCAGAGGACTCTCTACGCCTGGAGCTGGTGTGTGCGGGCCCTGCCTGGGGGCGGGGGGGGGGCTGAGCACCTCCTGGGGAGGGTGAGCCCCATCTGAGGGAGAGCAGCGCTCATGGTGTAAGTAGGAAGCAGAGCATGGGCTCTGGGCTCTGATGTTGGGGTACTCCCCAGGCCACTCTGATTTGCCTTTTGGCTTTTCCTGGCCTCCTGCTTTTTTTCCAGGGCAGCTGGGATGGGGGGGCTCTGTCTCGAAGGGCAGGGGGGTTCAAAGGCACCTGGGAGGGGCGTTAATTAGCCACGGGCTGCAGGTTTGGCTCTTGCCAGACACACCTTTCTGGGTTGATCATTGACCCGCTGGGAGTTGAGTGGATTAATAGCTGACTGGTGTGGGGGCCGGCCGCGTGGCTCAGTTGGTAAGAGCTCGCTCAAGAGTGCGAGCTCTGAGCAACAGGGTCGCCGGTTCGATTCCTGGCCAGAGCTGAGCTGCCAACAGGTGGCAGGAGGGCTCAGCTAAAAAAATATATATATAACTGACTGGTGTGGCGGTGACAAGCAGCAGGCTGGCCCTGGGCTGGGGGAGGAGGTGGTCCCTCCCCACACACCCATCCCTGGGGCTGCCCACCTGGCCCTGCCTCCACCAGCTCCCAGCTTGGTGGCCTCCCCAGCCTCCATGCAGGCCCCGTCCAATGGGGCACCCATGGCCAAGCACCTCCCGCACAGTGCCTGGCAGCGCCCAGTTATGGGAGCCACTGGGAACTCTGGGCCACAGAAGGGTCTCTGCAGCAGACCCTCAGGACCTGTGTGCACGAGTCCCTGTCTGGCACCCTTTGCAATACGATTCCTCCCAGAGCAACATGCCGCCTGAGGACTTTGGAGCGTGGTGCCGCTCACAGGAGTCGGGGGTGCAGGGGTGGACTGAAAGGACCCCAAGGTGGGGGGCATCACAGGACAAGGGCCTGGCTCGAGCCGCTTGACCCTGCTGGAGGGCTGACTGGGCCCCGGCTCTTCCCGCCGCAGGGTTTACTGGTCAGAACTGTGAAGAAAATATTGACGACTGTCCAGGAAACAGGTGCCAGAATGGGGGCACCTGTGTGGATGGGGTGAACACCTACAACTGCCGCTGCCCGCCAGAGTGGACAGGCATGTACACGGGGGGCAAGGGGGGGGGTGGTGAGGGGCCCGGAGCTGGAGGGCTGGTGTCCCTGGGGGTCTGAGGTCCCCCACCCCAGTGGTCAGCACACATGTGGCATCGGCTGGTCTGTGTGGACCGTGTACAGCCTGGCCCTAGGCAGCAGCCTGTGCCAGAATTGAGTCCCCAGGTTTGAGCCAAGCTTGCTGGGTAGGACACCTGACGCAGGCCCTGGCCTCGGGGGCTCGCATCTGACGGAGGCGATAGACAAGCATGGACCCCAGTGCAGCTAGGTGCACAGTCTGAGCAGGGAGAGAAAAAAGCCCCTCCGCTGCCGTGGGAGCAGGGGAAGAAGTGACGCTGCCTGGCGATGGGTGGACAAGTGCTCCCGGGAAGGCTTCCTGGGGGAGGTGGACTCTGCACCTCGTGGGGTGAGGGTGTCAGCCTGTGGTGGAGGGGCCTGGAGGCCGCCGCCCGGCCCAACGGTCCTGGTGCCACCACAGGCCAGTACTGCACCAAGGACATGGACGAGTGCCAGCTTATGCCCAACGCCTGCCAGAACGGTGGGACGTGCCACAACTCCCACGGTGGCTACAACTGCGTGTGCGTCAACGGCTGGACCGGCGAGGACTGCAGCGAGAACATCGACGACTGTGCCAGTGCCGCCTGCTTCCATGGTGCCACCTGCCATGACCGTGTGGCCTCCTTCTACTGCGAGTGTCCCCACGGCCGCACAGGTGAGGGGGCAGGTTCTGGTGCTTTTTTGCTGCCCTGGACGGGGGTGCCCCAGGGCCAGGCGGGAGTGAGGGTGAAGGATGCCCGCCTCAGTGGGCTCTCTTGGGCCTGGCGTGCATGACCTCGCTCAGACCAGAGACTGGCTTTTCAGGTCCCCCAGGGATAAACCCGGGAGGGTCTTTCTGGAGTGAAGACGGGCAGGGGTGTTCGTGACAAGGCCTGCTGGCCCGTCCAGAGGCTCGCCCGATAGCATCACAGTGGAGGCCCCTCCATGAGGAGTCTGGGTGGGGGTGGGGGTGGGGCCAGGTGCGGGCAGCTGGCCATTCCCAGGCTGGGGAGGGGCCGTGCCCTGCTGACTGCGATGCCCTGCCCAGGTCTGCTGTGCCACCTCAATGACGCTTGCATCAGCAACCCCTGCAATGAGGGCTCCAACTGTGACACCAACCCCGTCAACGGCAAGGCCATTTGTACCTGTCCCTCGGGGTACACAGGACCAGCTTGCAGCCAGGACGTGGACGAGTGCTCACTGGGTATGTGACTGGGGCGGGGAGCGGCGGGACAGCCGGGGTCAGGGGACCTGGTGGAGGTAGACTCTGCCTTCAGAGGGTTCCCGGTCTGGTGGGGAGGTGGGCAGGTGCCACCGTGTTCCAGAGGCCGGGGTGCCGGAAGCAGCCCCTCACCATGCTGCACCCCCCAGGTGCCAACCCCTGTGAGCACAAGGGCAAGTGTATCAACACGCTGGGCTCCTTCGAGTGCCAGTGTCTGCAGGGCTACAGCGGTCCTCGCTGTGAGATTGACGTCAACGAGTGCGTCTCAAACCCATGTCAGAACGACGCCACCTGCCTGGACCAGATCGGGGAGTTCCAGTGTATCTGCATGCCTGGTACGGAAACTGAGTCAGGCCAGACCACCCCTGGGAGTGCCCCCCAGCCTCCGTGCCCGCTAGGCCACAGCCTTCGCCAACATCTGGGGAAACCGAGGGAGGCCAGACCTGGAGGGCCTGGCAGAGCGCGGGGCCCGAGTGGGTGGGTGGGCTGCAGGAATGAGGGGTAGAGGGTGCTGGGCAGTGTCCTGTTGGTGGCTGGGGCTGGGCATCGCTTTCTGTGCCCAGAGCCAGCCCAGCGGGGCTGTGGTGAGGACTGCCAAGACCGCCCATGTCCTGAGCGCCCCCTCCGCCCCCCTCCCCGACCCCAGGCTATGAGGGCGTGCACTGTGAGGTGAACAAGGACGAATGTGCCAGCAGCCCCTGCCTCCAGAACGGACGCTGCCTGGACAAGATCAATGAGTTCCTGTGCGAGTGTCCCACAGGTGAGGCCCGGCCCCCTAGGGCTGTCCCGAGCTCCCCACACACTCCCCCGGCAGAGCTGGGCCAGGAGCCCTGATGCTGCGCTGTGGGTGGTCCCCGCTCAGGCCCAGGCTCCCTGTCCTCCTACCTGGGGGCTGGAATGCAGGGTGAGCCCTGCACCTCGGGAGTAGAAGGGGTGTTTTCAGGCTTTTCCCAACACACAAGGCCAGGCTGGGCAGGGGTACTAGCCTTTCGCCTTGTGGGGCGTGCTTGCCTGGGGGTTGGGGGAGCCCAGGGCCCAGAGACTGTCCTCCTGGTGGCTGGGGTTTCCCTGGAGGAAAGGGTGCCTTGGGGGCAGCAGTGAGCTGCCAGACCCCTGAGGGGTTTGGGCAGGGAGGAAGCATCAGTCAGGCTCTCGGAGGAGCCAGCCTACAGTGGACATGATGGCTGGGAGGGCTTGAGGCCACCCCGCAGTGGTCCCTGCCGCTGAGGGAGGGGGCTGTTTCAGGGAAGCGTTGCAGGTCAGAGCCTTGGGCCTCCTGAGACGTAAATCAGCCATCCCAGAGTAAATCAGCGATCCCAGACACGGAGCAGGGAACCCCATTCTCTACAGGACTGGGCTGTAGCCATAGCAACCGAAGTCAGTCTGGGGACAGGCCCTTCTGTGAAGGCACTGGGAGGGGTTTGACCTGAAGCTTGGTAGCTGAAAGAGTGGAAAGGAGAGAAATTTGTTGGGGGGGGAAGGGGGGGGTCCTCTGCTGAGCCCTGGCCGAGGCGCGCTCAAGAACCCATGTCGGGTGCTCCCTGGTCCGCTTCGTCCGGGGCTTGGCTTCAGGGCTGCGGTGCCCGCCTCGTCTGACAGCCACCCCTGTCCCGGGCTGCAGGCTTCACCGGGAACCTGTGCCAATACGACGTGGACGAGTGTGCAAGCACTCCCTGCAAGAATGGCGCCAAGTGCCTGGACGGGCCCAACACCTACAGCTGCATGTGCACAGAAGGTGAGCCCAGGAGAGGGAGGAAGGGGCAAGTGTCCAGGGCCCAGCGGTGCGGGCAGTCAGCAGCCGGGGCCAGCGAGGTGACAGATGAAGGTCCTTCAATCTGGGGCCTGTCGTCCAGGGGCCAAGAGCACAGCTCAGCTGTGACCCTAGCAGTGGGGGACGTCTCTCGATAAGAGACAAAACCCCAGTCCTTCCAGGTGGGAGCACAAGTGACCTGGGTCTGGTGGTGGAGTCCTGAGACAGGGGACGGCCTCGTGGCCAGGGAGCAGCTGCCCTGAGCCTCCGGCCCCCACCCTGCAGGCTACACAGGGCCCCACTGCGAGGTGGACATCGACGAGTGTGACCCTGACCCCTGCCACTACGGGTCCTGCAAGGACGGCATCGCCACCTTCACCTGCCTGTGCCAGCCGGGCTACACAGGCCACCATTGCGAGACCAACATCAACGAGTGCCACAGTCAGCCCTGCCGCCACGGGGGCACCTGCCAGGACCGTGACAACGCCTACCTCTGTCTCTGCCTCAAGGGGACCACAGGTGCCTGGCCTGGCTCAGTGGGGCTTGGGGGGTTGGGGTGCTCAGGAGCTGACCACCACGTGCCCCCTACTCTCCAGGACCCAACTGTGAAATCAACCTGGACGACTGTGCCAGCAACCCCTGCGACTCGGGCACCTGTCTGGACAAGATTGACGGCTACGAGTGTGCATGTGAGCCGGGCTACACAGGTGAGCGGCCCCAGAGGTCAGAGACTGACTGGGCCCTGTCCCCCGAGGCCTCCTCACAGCCTAACCACAGGGGCTGAGGCTGTGCTCAGAGGTCAAGGTCAGTGATGGCCCCAGAATTCTGGGTGGGCCAGGTCTGGGTGAGCCCAAGGGTGGGGTGGTGCAGACCACAGCCCAGGGCTGTCTGGCTGCTGGCCTTGGCTGACTGCAGCAGAGACCATGGCAGGATGGGCTCCAGCCAGCACAGCATTCTCCAGCCTCTGGCCCCAGCTCTGAGCCGGCCCAGCAGGACGAGAGGGGAGCCAGGCTCAGGGTGCACGCTGAGCCCTTGAGCAAGTCCTGGCCTCTCTGAGCCTCAGGTCCTGTCAGTCAGGGGACAGTGCAGGCTCTGCCCCTGGGGCCGTTGGTATGTGCCTTGTGTGAGTGCCCAGCACAGCACAGAGCACTGGGCCAGGCTGGCGGCTGCTGCGCATATGCATGTGACATGTGCCAAGTGCCTTCTTGCCTGGTTTACGCCCCAGAAGGACCTGGGTTGAGCAGTCGGTTATCACCCTGGTTTAACGGGCAGACTGAGGCTCAGAGGGGCCAGAACCTGCTCACCGAGACCCCTCCTCATCCTTTACTGATGGGGTCCTGGGTGTGGGAGCTGAACCCTCTACCTCCCCTTCCCCGCTTGCCCACAGGAAGCATGTGCAATATCAACATTGATGAGTGTGCCGGCAACCCCTGCCACAATGGGGGCACCTGCCAGGATGGCATCAACAGCTTCGCCTGCCGCTGCCCTGAGGGCTACCATGGCCCCACGTGCCTGTCTGAGGTCAACGAGTGCGACAGCAACCCCTGCATCCACGGGGCCTGCCGGGACAGCCTCAATGGGTACGAGGCCAGGGCAGAGGCCGGGGCATGGGGTGCGCCCACCTCCATTCCGAGGCCGCATTAGCCCTGTCCCCGGAAGGCGGCATGTGTGGTGGCCCATGGGGTGGCCGGCGGGGAGCAGGCTGGGCAGGTGCCTGCTCAAAGCTCCAGATAGGCCAGAAGTGGGCCCCGGGCCCGGTGAGTGGGTGGGCAGCCTCCCGCCAGGACAGGGCACCTGCTCAACCCTGGCCTGTGCCTTGGTCATGGGCACCGTGCTGGCTCAGAAGGCCCGAGTGATCCCAGAAACTGGTTGGTGTGCCAGCCACAGCCAGCGTGCTGATTCTTGTGAGGTAATGAGAAATGAATGTGTTGCTGGCCGAGTCCTGGCTCCTGAAGCCGCTTCACAGGTCTATAAAAGTGGGCGGAGCACTTTTTGTTATTCATAACAAGCCCCTTTCAACCACATCAGAGCTTATGCTAATGAGGTGGCTAAGGAACCTAAGGATGGGGGCTGGGTCCCAGGAACCTACCCTGTGATTAGAGGGTGGGACCTTTCAGTTCCTCAAGGAGCGGGAGGGGCTGGAGGTTGGGTTCAGCAGAGCCAGTGGTTGAACCAGTCAGGCCTGTGCAACCAGGCCTCTAGAACTGCTCCCTGAAGGGGTCAGAAGGCTTCCGGGTTGGGGACCACATCACGGTGCAGGGAGGGTGTCAACACTCCATCCCTTGTCCTCTGCATCTCTTCCATCTGGCTGTTCCTGAGTTTATGTTTTTATGATAAACCGCTCATCAAGGAAGTAAAACTCTTTCCCTGAGTTCTGTGAGCCGCTCTAGCAAATGACCAGACTCAAGGAGAGGGTGGCGGGAACCCGATTTATGGCTGGTCTAAAGTTCAGGGGACACCCTGCGACTGGTGATTGGTGTCTCATATGGGGCAGTCTTGTGGGACCGAGCCCTTAACCCGTGGGGTCTGCACTGGCCCCAAGCAGCATCAGAATCAAGGTAGGACACCCAGCTGGTGTCCCGACAGCTGGAGAATTTGGTGTCAGAAGTATTGGGGTACAGAGAAGACACGGAAGCTTACCTTTCATTTCTGACACCCATTATGTGCCCCACGCTGCTGTCTAGGGGCATTGACATGGGCAGGGTCCCCATGCCCTCGCTTTGCACAGAGAGGATAAGCACTGTCTTCACGACCACACAGCAGCGAGCGGTGAGAGCCTTCTGGTCACTGCCCTGCACTGGGCACTGACCCACATCTGGTGTAACCAAACCCTTGCCACTATCGGGCAGGGTGGGTGCTATTGCCCCACTTCAGAGGACGCAGGATCAGGGGACCAGTGCCTCCCTGTCATGACTGTAGGAGAGTGGCAGAGCCAGAAGTGCCCGCAGCCCAGGCCCACTCATCATCAGGGCCACCCCTGAGTTGTAGTGTGGTCACCTCTGCAGGTATAAGTGTGACTGTGACCCTGGGTGGAGTGGGGCCAACTGTGACGTGAACAACAATGAGTGTGAGTCGAACCCCTGCATCAATGGCGGTGCCTGCAAGGACATGACCAGTGGCTATGTGTGTACCTGCCGGGAAGGCTTCAGTGGTGAGTGGCTGGGGGCTCCTGGTGCACAGTGGTCCCGCTGGGGGGTGGGGGGTGGGTGGCAATGCAGAGGATCAGGACCAGCCAGCACGACCTGCGATGTCGCCCTCCTGTGAGGAGCCTGCTGTCCGTGGTGCAGCCTGGCTGGTGCTGGCTCCGGTCCCATCACTCAGCACAGGCTCTTCCTACCACCAGATGAGGAGGGGCCTGCAGTGGGGGACCCAGCCTCGGCACCCAGGTGACAGATACACTGACTGCTGTCCCTCTCTCTCCAGGCCCCAACTGCCAGACCAACATTAACGAGTGCGCGTCCAACCCGTGTCTGAACCAGGGCACGTGTATCGATGACGTGGCGGGTTACAAATGCAACTGCCTGCTGCCCTACACGGGTGAGAGTGGGCCTGTGAGTGGGGGGTGGGGCCTATCTGGTGGGTGGGACCTACAGGGTGTGGGGGCGGGGCCTGCAGGGTGGGCGGGGCCTACCTGGGTGAGGGTTGGCCCTAACCGGGTCCTGGACAGACAGAGGGATGCGGTGGCTGAGAGTACAGAGGTGGCCATGGGACACACAGTGGCTTTCCTAAGCTGGCTGAATTTGGGCCTCACCCTGCAGGTATCACTGCCAGATGAGCACAAAAAAATACAGGATGCCCAGGAGAAATTTTTAGTATAAGTATGTCCCAAATATTTCACCTGGCAAGCCTGCTCAGGAGGTGAGAAGATGGAACCCTTGGCAGCGGAGCCGAGAGCTGGGTCCACGCTGCCGGGGGCCCCTGGGTCCAGGCCCGAGAGGCTCCTTTGACGGCAGCCCGTCTTGGTGTAGACGAGCAAGGAACCTTCTTCTTGCTGAGTAGAGGCAGGAGACATTTCCTTGGGCGTCTCAGCCTCTGCTGTTGTCCCAGCCAAGGAGGTCACAGGAAATGTCCCTTCCCTCGAAGAGATACGCGTAGAGTTAAAAATGAAAAGTCCACAGCCACCGGGGCCACCAGGCTCTGCTGGGGGTGGGCTAAGGGTGCTGCCCCTGGGGGTCCTGAGAGGACCCTGTCCAGCTGGCCAGGCAGTGGCAGGGGCCATGCCGGTGGTTCCCGTGACATCGGGTGGCCCATGGCCAGAGCAGTGTTTTCTTTGACCAGAACTGGGGACCTGGATTTTCTCTCGTACATCAGTGAGGAAACCCCCCTGTGGCCGGCCAGGGCCTCCACGCCCGCACGCACCCGAGTCCCTCTTGGACACGCTGATACTGGAGGCTGGCGGGCCCGGCGGGTGGAGCGGGCCTGTGCTGACCGGCTTCCTTTCTACCCCGCTTCCTGCTTCCCTCCACACAATTGTCGGAAGCTCTGGCGAATTTCCTGCCTGCCCAGGTCACCGTGGAAACTGAAAGAAAGAAAGGCCCTGGAAAATCGCACCAGCAGGCCAGGGAGATAATGGGCGAGGAGGAAGATAACTCTTCCTTGCTTCCTCGGGAATCGTGCCCCGCGGGCTGTAAACAGGAAAACTCCTCTGGGCTTTCACAGAGAAAACGTCGCCCTGGTGTGCACATGGCCCTAGCCGGGCTCCCTGCCTTGTCCCAGTCGCCTGGTGCTCCCTGTTCAGTAGGATGTGCTCGGAGCTGAGGCTGGCATCTTCCCCAGCAGAGTGGAGGGCTCATCCCCTGCTAGCACAGCCTTCGTTCAGTGGCCTCTCATGATGGGCATTTCCTGCCTGTGACACAAGCCCCCGGGATTAGCTCCCAGACCTCTGCTCTGTGCAGGGAGGGCCCTTTGCCACCATGAGGCGTGGAGGGGTGAGGCTGGGAGCAGGCCCGAGGCCCCTGTGATGTTGTAGAGGGGCCGCCAGTCCTTGCTGCCTGGCACTCCTGGCGGGGTAAGGCCACGCTGTTGTGTCCTGCAGCCTGTGGGGGAGCCGGGCGTTTGTCTGCTTTGTCTCCAGCGCTTAGTTCAGCTCCTGATGCTGCAGCCAGCTCACACGGGGTCCCAGTGCCGTGCCATTTCCCCCTCCTTGGGGCCAGCCCAGTGTGCTCTGACGGTGGAACGACCAACAGACGGTGGTCACGGTGGCCTCTGTCAAAGCCACCCCCTGGCCCGCGGCTCCCTGTGTCTCACCGCCTGTCCTTCTTCCCTCAGGAGCCACATGTGAGGTGGTGCTGGCCCCGTGTGCCCCCGGCCCCTGCAGAAATGGCGGCGAATGCAAGGCGTCTGAGGACTACGAGAGCTTTTCCTGCGTCTGCCCCACCGGCTGGCAGGGTGAGGCCGGCCTGCTCTCTACAGCCCTGGCTCAGGCTGACTTCCAGGAGGGGCTGGGCCAGGGAGGGAAGTCCGGGGGCTCAGGTGGCTCCAGGGTATGAGAAGTGAGCTCTCCGTCTTTGGAGGTGTGTGGGCTGCAGAGCCTCCTGCAGGGATGGCTCTAGAATTGGCCTTGCTCTTTCTGCCCCGAATTTGTATAACCTGCTTGGGCCGAAACTCGGGGACGGCAAGTCGGATGCCCTTCCTTTCTTCCTGGGGCTGAGGAGGCCCTACCCCTGGGTGTACAGGGGAGAGGCCTGGAGGGACTGAGCTGACGGCTCCCTGCTCCCCACCCAGGGCAGACCTGTGAGATCGACATCAACGAGTGTGTGAAGAGCCCGTGCCGCAACGGTGCCTCCTGCCAGAACACCAACGGCAGTTACCGCTGCCACTGCCAAGCAGGTTACACGGGGCGCAACTGCGAGACGGACATCGACGACTGCCGGCCGAGTGAGTGGCCTGGCCAGCCGTGCCCACCCGAGGTGCTCTCAGACCTGTCTCCCCAGTGGGCACAGCGCAGGGAGCTTGTTGGGGTCAGATGGGGGAAGGGTGTGGCGGTGCCTAGGTGTAGGGGTGGTGCCGGCAGTGCCAGCCATCATGCCCAGAGGCCAAGCCCGGCTCAGTCCAGCTGGGCATGGCCAGGATGGAGCCCAGGGTAGGTGCTGGAGGAAGTGCTGGGGAGGGGGCACTGCTCATGGCGCATCACTGCAGGCCTTGCGTGGACCGAGCAAGGTGCTTCCGGGTGGGTCCAGAAGGCTCTGGAGCCAGACTGCCCAGCTTTAAGCCCATCCCCGCATCTCCCAGCCGGATTCCAGTAGCCACTCCCCCAGCACGGCCCCAGTCCAGCGTGGTTCTTCCTAGTCCTTGTCACGGGCCTTGTCACAACCCACGAGGAGCGCGCTTTGTCCCCACTCCTGCCCGCGCCTCAGGCCTGCCCTCCTCTCTGCTCCCAGACCCATGTCACAATGGTGGCTCCTGCACAGACGGCATCAACATGGCCTACTGCGACTGCCTAGCTGGCTTCCAGGGCGCCTTCTGCGAGGAGGACATCAACGAATGTGCCAGCAGCCCCTGTCGCAATGGCGCCAACTGCACCGACTGTGTGGCCAGCTATACGTGCACCTGCCCCACAGGCTTTAGCGGGATCCACTGTGAGAACAACACACCTGACTGCACGGAGAGGTGGGTGGGGCCGTGGCCCATGGGGGCGGGGATGCTGTGCATCAGGTGCAGGCCTAGGTCTGCGGCAGGGAGGGGACCGGGCCACAGGAGCCATGCACAGTGTGTGGCAACCTGTGTACCCAGCAGCTGTCTACCCAGTCGCTCTCAGTGCTAGTTGATTTGAGTCAGACGTTGATCATTGATTGCAGTGTTCTTCCTAGAAGGGCCCTGGTAGTTTATCCCGAAGAACTGGTATGCCTCCTTCTTCCAGACAGGAGAACTTCGTAACCCATCTTGTTTCCTTTTTTTTGCCTTGGCTGCCAGGAAGCTCAGCATTAAATGTCATTCTCATCCTGTTTCTGACATGGTAGTCTCCCACGTTGTCTATTCCCGTATTTTAACCTGTGTGTGTGACAAAGCTTCTCTCAGGATGAGTTATGAGGAAGGCAAAGGAAGAGGGTGTGACATGGCTTGAGAGTTTGAGTTCCCTGGCCATGTGTTGGGAGCCTCCTGGAGCTCCTGTTGGGCTCCCTGAGGTCAGGCAGGCTGCTTCTGGCCTTTTCTGGCCATCAGGCCCCTTTGGACACGGTCTGAGCCAAGGGGAGGTGCCAGCTCAGCCAGGGTCCTGTGCCCCCAGTCACCCTCCTCCCCTGCTACCTGCCCGCCTCCAGCTCCTGCTTCAATGGTGGCACCTGCGTGGATGGCATCAACTCCTTCACTTGCCTGTGCCCGCCTGGCTTCACGGGCAGCTACTGCCAGCACGACGTCAATGAGTGTGACTCGCGTCCCTGCCTGCACGGTGGCACCTGTCAAGATAGCTATGGCACCTACAAGTGCACCTGCCCACAGGGCTATACCGGCCTCAACTGCCAGGTGAGTGAGTAGGCTGCAAGGTGCCCGGCAGGAGGTGGCCGAGTTTGGGCATCAGCCTGTGACACATCACAGCAGCCACCCTGCCGGGCCCACTCAGTCAGCCCAAAGTAGAGAAGAGCCCAGCTCGGGGAGGCGGGGGGTGGCCTCGGTCACGTGCTCCTGGGGGCCTGGATTGCCAGCTTGGTCCCAGCCCTGGGCTGTGCTGCCACCTGAGGAGCTGGAGGTGGTGGATGGGGCGGCCATCCAGGGCGGGTAGCAGAGGTTTATGGAGTGAGAGCAAGGACTGGGTGATTTGGGGAAAGACTTAAAAAGCAGTGTTTTTACATAAATATGTAAAAGCATTAGAGATGGGTGTTCATTGAATGTTCTCGCATGATGCATTAGTCTCAAAAAACTTCCAACCAAGTTGTTTATTTACTGCTAAAGAAAAGTCTTCCTTCAAGGAAAGGCAGCTGGTGGTCTGGGTTTGCTGAGGGCGCAGAGAGCGAGCGAGAGAGACCCCCCAGCGGGGGCCCATGGCCTCAGTGTCCGCTTGTGGAGGATGGCGTGACAAATCCCCCCTTGGGCGTGAGGGTCTGTGGTGGGCATGTGGACGGCACGGCTGGGCGGGATGCAGCCCGATGGGACCGGGTGGGGACCGTGAGAGAGCTGGTCTCTACTGTCCCCAGAACCTTGTACGCTGGTGCGACTCCTCACCCTGCAAGAACGGCGGCAAGTGCTGGCAGACCAACGCCCTGTATCGCTGTGAGTGCCACAGCGGCTGGACTGGCCTCTACTGTGACGTGCCCAGCGTTTCCTGTGAAGTGGCCGCATGGCGGCAAGGTAACTGGCTGCGTCCCGCCCTGGCCCAGTCTTCCCTGGCACCCAAAGGGCATGCGTCATGTGAGGTCCGAGGCTGCCCCCGCCTCCCGGAGGAGAGCGCAGGCCTCACGCTCCCTGCTGCCACGTGCCCTGCAGGCATCGAAGTGACCAACCTATGCCGGAACGGAGGGCTCTGCATGGATGCAGGCAACACGCACCACTGCCGCTGCCAGGCGGGCTACACGGGCAGCTACTGTGAGGACCAGGTGGACGAGTGCTCACCTAGCCCCTGCCAGAACGGGGCCACCTGCACCGACTACCCTGGCGGCTACTCCTGTGAGGTGGGGACCCGTCCTGGGTAAGGGTGTCTGGTGTGAATGTCATCAGGAGCCAGGCCCTGGGCTGGGAGTCGGAGCAGTAGGGAAGATGAATCCCAACAGATGTGGACACCTTTCAGTTCCATTAAGGGAGGACCAGGGGAATCGGGGGAGACTGCCTGCAAGAGTGGCCTTATGCGGGGGGGGCGAGAAGTGGAAGATACTCTGAGAAGTGGGGCAAGGTTCCCTTCCCCCAGGGTTGTCCCTTTAGGCTCACCTGACACACCGCCCTGAGGTCCCCACCACTATCTCATAGGGTAAGTCTCACCCCTGCCCTGGGCAGTGACTCAGCCTAGCGGAGCCCTCCCCAGGGTCAGCTGGACAGGAGTCTCACTCCTGGTTGGCAGGTGTGAGGAACCCAAGGCTTCACTAGGCAAGAGGGCAGCCTATGTGGCCCCGTCAGCCTGCACAGGGCTGGGGGGGCCGCACGCTGCTACCCACCGAGCCACAGCCCCCACCATCTGTCTCCCTGCACAGTGTGTGGCCGGCTACCATGGGGTGAATTGCTCTGAGGAGATCAATGAGTGCCTGTCCCACCCGTGCCAGAACGGGGGTACCTGCATCGACCTCACCAACACATACAAGTGTTCCTGTCCCCGGGGCACACAGGGTAAGGGGTGCCACACCCAGGGCTGGGGTCCAGGGGAAAGTGGTCAGTCAGGCAGCACCTGGTAATCAGCCAGAGATGTCCTGGACTCAGCCAGGATGCAGGGCTAACAGGGATGGAGTACGGCCAGGCAACTGGCAGCTGCCTGGTGCCAACCTCCTGCTTTCCATGAGCATCTGTGGTCCCAGTCCTCACCGCTTGTCGGGTGGCGCCCTCTGGAGGGAGCAGGGGCAGCATGGGGCCCGCACAGGTCCCTGATGGCCCGTGGCCCCTGCAGGTGTGCACTGTGAGGTCAATGTGGATGACTGCAGCCCCCCCATCGACCCCGTCTCCCGGGGCCCCAAGTGCTTCAACAATGGCACATGCGTGGACCAGGTGGGCGGCTACAGCTGCACCTGCCTGCCCGGCTTTGTGGGCGAGCGCTGCGAGGGCGACGTCAACGAGTGCCTGTCCAACCCCTGCGATGCCCGCGGCACCCAGAACTGCGTGCAGCGTGTCAACGACTTCCACTGCGAGTGTCGGGCCGGCCACACCGGTGGGTGCAGCGGGCTGGGGTGGCTGGGCCGGTGGGGGGCTGGGGCTGGGCCAGCAAGCCCTTCATACCCGCTTTTGTACCCAGGGCGCCGCTGTGAGTCTGTCATCAACGGCTGCAAAGGAAAGCCATGCAAGAACGGGGGCACGTGTGCAGTGGCCTCCAACACCGCCCGCGGGTTCATCTGCAAATGCCCAGCGGTAGGTATAGCGCCCGGGTGGGGGTGGGAGGGGCCGCCTCGCCCCCAAGTCCTGTGCGGCCCGCGAGGGTTCCCTGGGCTGAAGGCGGCTGCGGAAGGCCACCTTCCCTTGGGCCTGGCCTTGCACACATGCCTGCTGGAGGGCTCTGCCGTCCGCCTTTTCCTGGAGGTCATGTCTGTGGTGTCGGTAAACTATATTTGTAGAGCAGTTTTAGGTTTACAGAGAAACTGTGCAGAAAGTAGAGTGTTCTCCTCCCCCACCCACCTCATTCCCGGTCCCCGTTGTTCGCATCTGCGATACATGGTTACTATTGACCGGTTACTATTGACCAGCCAACGTCGATCCGTTGCTAAGTCAAGTCCAGTGTTCCTCAGGGTCGCTCCTGGGGCTGGGGGTTGTTTGGGTTCTGACAGCACATAGTGTGACACATCCTCTGTTACAGTGTCGTGTGGAGCTCTCAGCGCCCAGCAAATGCCCTGTGCTCTGCCTGTGTGTCCTCCCGCCTCCCTGCCATCCCACGGCAGCCCCAGAGCTTTTTATGTTGACAGACTCTCTCTTTAAAGGGTCCTGTTGCTAGGGAAAGGCTGCCGGCCCCTCTCCCGGGTTGGGGGACACAGTGGTACCTGAGAGCCTGGGTGGGGCCCTGTGGTGTCTGGGGAGCCACCCGCCCTGACACCCCTCCCCTCGGGCCACCCTCTCCTGGCAGGGCTTCGAGGGCGCCACGTGTGAGAACGACGCGCGCACCTGCGGCAGCCTGCGGTGCCTCAACGGCGGCACCTGCATCTCGGGCCCGCGCAGCCCCACCTGCCTGTGCCTGGGCCCCTTCACCGGCCCCGAGTGCCAGTTCCCGGCCAGCAGCCCCTGCGTGGGCGGCAACCCCTGCTACAACCAGGGCACGTGCGAGCCCACTTCCGAGAGCCCTTTTTACCGCTGTCTATGTCCTGCCAAGTTCAACGGGCTCCTGTGCCACATCCTGGACTATAGCTTCAGGGGCGGCGTGGGCCTGGACATCACCCCACCGCAGATCGAGGAGGCCTGCGAGCTCCCCGAGTGCCGTGAGGAGGCCGGAAACAAGGTCTGCAGCCTGCAGTGTAACAACCACGCGTGTGGCTGGGACGGCGGCGACTGCTCCCTCAACTTCAACGACCCTTGGCAGAACTGCACACAGTCGCTGGAGTGCTGGAAGTATTTCAGCAACGACCACTGCGACAGCCAGTGCAACTCGGCCGGCTGCCTCTTTGACGGCTTCGACTGCCAGCGCGCCGACGGCCAGTGCAAGTAAGGCCGGCGGGGACGGCCACGGCTCAGCACGGGCCCGGGGCTCATGGTGCAGGGAGAGCGGACAGAGAACGGCCCCTGATCTCAAATGCAGGGCAGCAGGCCAGATGGTGGCCGGGGGTTCCCCCCGTGCGTGGGACGGGCGTGTTTCCCTGGGTGTAGCCCGGGCAGGGCAGCAGGGGGGCCGGCTGTGGAGGGAGCCTGAGTGTGACCTCTGCCTGCAGCCCCCTGTATGACCAGTACTGCAAGGACCACTTCAGCGACGGGCACTGCGACCAGGGCTGCAACAGCGCAGAGTGTGAGTGGGACGGGTTAGACTGTGCAGATCACGTGCCCGAGCGGCTGGCCACTGGCACGCTGGTGGTGGTGGTGCTGATGCCACCGGACCAGCTGCGCAACGGCTCCCTGCATTTCCTGCGGGAGCTCAGCCGCCTGCTGCACACCAACGTGGTCTTCAAGCGTGACGCGAACGGCCGGCAGATGATTTTCCCCTACTACGGCCATGAGGAGGAGCTGCACAAGCACCCCATCAAACGCTCTGTGGAAGGCTGGGCTGCGCCCAGCGCCCTGCTCGGCCAGGTGAAGGCTGCATTACTCCCAGATGGCAGCAGTGGGCGCTGGCGCAGGGAGCTGGACCCAATGGAGATCCGCGGGTGAGTGAGTCCCGGCGCACGGCCAGGCCGTGTCTGACCCCTGGGGCTGTCCCCAGAGAAAGTGCTCTCCCCACTTTATGGTAAAACGGCCAAGGTCCTACTGGACCGGGACTTCCAGGGCCCCACCACAGGCGAGGGCCAGAGGCAGCATTCCCACCCACCCAGGGCTCTTGACCCCAAGGCCCATGTCCTGGGGCCTGAGGTCAGCTCCCAGGAGAGGATCGGGCCTTTGAGGCCTCTGTCCTGCTGACATGAGCCACGGGGGTGCTTGTGGCACCCGAGGGAACCATAGAGGATGGTAGGGAGGGGTGGGGGAGCACTTTGCAGGGTGTCTGATGAGGACCTACTGTGTGCCTGTCTCACGCTGGTGCTTGACTTGGGCTGTCAGGGGCACCGTCCACCTCCAGGGTTATTCCTGTCCTGCTGCCCCCCCTAGAGTTCTTAGAGCACCTGTCTCCTCACCTATCGGGATGATGCCACCAGGGCCGCAGCTGGTCCCCAGAGGCAGCCCATTGGGCGGGAGCGGGGAGGAAGCCTTTGGCCCAGCCGCTGACCTGGGCACATTCTCCAGGTCCATTGTCTATCTGGAGATTGACAACCGGCAGTGCGTCCAGTCGTCCTCCCAGTGCTTCCAGAGTGCCACGGACGTGGCTGCGTTCCTGGGGGCGCTCGCCTTGCGGGGCAACCTGAACATCCCCTACAAGATCGAGGCTGTGCAGAGTGAGTGGCAGCCCTCGCTGGCCCGGCACCCTCGGGAACCGTGGGCTTGCGTTTTAGGGAGCGTCTGCCTGGGAGGGGTTAAGTCCCGATCCCCTCCCCAGACGCGCTTGCTCTTTGTGTCACTTACCACCCACGGGTGGGTGCCGTGCCATCCAGAGGTCGGGGAGTGCTTTTCCAGAATTTTCTGCCAGGCACACACTCTCCCTACTTATAGTGACAACCGCCCGTGAGGCTGGCCCCGGGGACAGGCACATCCGCCAGAAAGTGGTAGCCTTTTTCTCTCCCTACCTGTTCCCCCCGATTTTTCTTTGTTGGGTATTATTTCAAAATCATTACAGCTTTTTAAAAAGGAGAGAGAGGGGTGGGGGAGAGAGAAGAATTGATCGGTGTCATGTGAAGTGTTGAAGTTTGTATCTCGAAAATCCCCGTAAATCCTTTGTCTTAACAGCTCAGTGCGGGCGCAGCGGTTTCACGTTGGCTAATCCTCCTCCCTTAAAGGGGAGAAAAGTAAAAGCCGCCTCCAGATACTGGGCTGGTGCAGGAGAGAACTTAGCGATAGTTTGCAATTCTGATTAATCGCATAGAAATGACCTTGTTTTGGGGGGCGGGATGGAGGAGAGCGGGTGAGGAGGCGCCCTGCCGCGGAGCCAGTCCGCCACCCCCCAGCCGCGGAGGTGCCGCCTGATGCCCGGGCGCCCACCGGCGGCTCCTGTGCCCGCAGGTGAGACGGTGGAGCCGCCACCGCCCCCGCCGCTGCACTTCATGTACGTGGCCGTGGTCGCCTTCGTCCTTCTCGTCTTCGTGGGCTGCGGGGTGCTGCTGTCTCGAAAGCGTCGGCGGCAGCATGGCCAGCTCTGGTTCCCTGAGGGCTTCAAGGTGTCGGAGGCCAGCAAGAAGAAGCGGCGGGAGCCCCTCGGAGAGGACTCCGTGGGCCTCAAGTTAGTGGATGCTGCCGTGGCTTCTGGGGGGCTTGGGGGTGGCAGAGCCCTGCAGACACACGGCCCCACCTCACCCGCCAAGCACGGTTGAAGCCCTGGCCTTGGGGTAGTTCCTGGGGAGCCCCACCCTGCTTAGTCTTGCCCCCCACCCCCACCCCCAGGCCCCTGAAGAATGCCTCAGACGGTGCCCTCATGGATGACAACCAGAACGAGTGGGGTGACGAGGACCTAGAGAGCAAGAAGTTCCGGGTGAGTTGGGCGGCCCCCGGGCGGCTCCTGTGTCCCCGTCCCCCCGCTTCCTGCCTGCCGTGACGGGGCTCTCTGCTTGGCCCCTTCCTTAGTTTGAGGAGCCAGTGGTTCTCCCCGACCTGGATGCCCAGACAGACCACCGGCAGTGGACCCAGCAGCACTTGGATGCTGCCGACCTGCGCGTGTCCGCCATGGCCCCCACACCGCCCCAGGGTGAGGCTGACGCCGACTGCATGGACGTCAACGTCCGCGGGCCGGGTAGGTGGACGGCCAGCCACCCGCGCTGGCCCCTGGGGCTCTCCCTGGTCAGGGCCATTCACCTGGCAGCCTGTGCTCACCTGACCCTAGATCCCACCTGCCTCCCTCCCCTAAGCCCCTGGGGTCAGTACTTTGGAAGCTGAGCATGGTGGGGAGGGCAGGGTGCTCTCAGTCCTCAGAGTCACCCTGTCACCTGGCTTCCTCCTAAGTGACGATTGAGCCCACTCGGCCCTGAAAATTGATTTCTCCTGAAATCTTTTGAGACATCGAAGGGTTGATTTCCTAACTGCATTTTCACATAGCCTTTTTTCTGTGGTCATGAGCAGAGCCACAGGGGGGCTTCTTTGCCCAAGAGTCAGCTGGCACCTGGACTTGGCTCTATCCCTTGGGAAGCTGGGATTGATTTTGGTAGCCCCAGGTGGCACGAGTGTGTGCAGGCCGCCACGGGCTGGGTCACAAGTGCAGACTGCTGCCCGGCAGCTCGAGGCTGTCGTCCCTGCTCAGAGCCGCTGCCGGGGCCAGGTTTCCTGACTGCCCACCCCTGTTCCTGCCCTCACTGCAGATGGCTTCACGCCCCTCATGATCGCCTCCTGCAGTGGAGGGGGCCTGGAGACGGGCAACAGCGATGAGGAGGAGGACGCGCCTGCCGTCATCTCAGACTTCATCTACCAGGGTGCCAGTCTGCACAACCAGACGGACCGCACGGGTGAGACCGCCCTGCACCTGGCTGCCCGCTACTCACGCTCTGACGCGGCCAAGCGCCTGTTGGAGGCCAGCGCCGACGCCAACATCCAGGACAACATGGGACGCACGCCGCTACACGCGGCCGTGTCTGCCGACGCACAGGGTGTTTTCCAGGTGGGCAACTGCTGCTACACGCACACCCTCTGCCAGCCCCCCCGCTGGCCTTCTCTTCTGGTCTGGCCGGCAACTCGGTTCATGTGGACCCTGGAGCCCTGATCCTAAGCATAGCCTAAGCAGGGGCAGCTGGTTTCTTTATCCCAAGCCTTTGCTCTGGGCGAGGTGCTCAGCTGGGGAGGCCACCAAACCACACGTCTCCTCCTCAAAGGGAGGCCAGGCTGAAGGCGGTCCAGCAGGAGGCCAAAGAGACCTGCTGGGGGCAGGGCCTTCCCACCCGGACTGGAGTCACGCCTCCCGCCTCCCGCCTCCCTCCCAGCTGCAGCCAGAGGCATAGCCTGTGGCAGTGCGAAGAAGGGTTTAGAGACTGCGGCTTGCTGCCTGCAAACCTGGGCCTTGACCTTGCTGGGAAGCCCAGGACAAGGGTGAATTTAGGGATTTGGATGCTTGGGTCTCTGGGGAATGTCCCTGACGGAGGCTCCTTTTGCAAGTCCCCCACCGGTCCCCCTGCTCCAAGTCCCCCAGCTCTGAGCAGCCCTGCTCTGCATAGATGGTCAGGTGAGTGGCAGGGGGATTCAATATAGAGCCTTTGATTTCATGATTTTTAGCACATTGTCTTTCTACAGAAATCAGAAATTGAGGTTAGCTGAGAGAGGACCATGGCAACGAGTCCCCAGAGGCAGGCCCTGGCCGTGGCAGCCTTTCTAGCACATAGAGACATAAACTCCTACAGGCTCTTTGCGGGGACAAGGCCAGTTCTGCACACTGCTTGGCGCCCAACTTTTTTCACCTTCCAGCAAACAGTGATATCCTTTGGGCCAATGACCCAGGCGGGCAGCATCTGACTGGCTGCCCATGCTGTCCCCTGTGGCTAGACAGGGATCTGACCCCTCTGTGTCCTGGGGTGGTGGCGGCAGCCAGGCCTGTGGTGAGGATTAGATGAGACCACATGTGGTCACCCAGGGGCTGGTCTGTCGGGCAGCGTGGCCTGCACTCTGGCTCCGGCCCCTCCCGTAGCAGCCGGTGGGGTCCTGCCCTCTCACTCTGTAGCCACTCAGACCCCAGCGGGGGCTTCATCCATGCAGGGGGCCTGTTCTGGGCCAGGGCTGACCGAGCCTGTCACCCCTTCTGTCACCTAGATCCTGATCCGGAACCGAGCCACAGACCTGGACGCCCGCATGCACGATGGCACGACGCCCCTGATCTTGGCCGCCCGCCTGGCCGTGGAGGGCATGCTGGAAGACCTCATCAACTCGCACGCCGACGTCAATGCCGTGGACGACTTGGGTAAGCCAGGCTGTGGCCCAGCCCGCAGGGGACAGCCCGCTGCCCCCTGACCTGCCCCAACCCCCACTCCCCTTCTTGCCCTCAGGCAAGTCCGCCCTGCACTGGGCTGCCGCCGTGAATAACGTGGAGGCCGCCGTCGTGCTCCTGAAGAACGGTGCCAACAAGGACATGCAGAACAACAAGGTGGGCTGGGGACCCACGTGGGACTGGGGCGTGGCTGGCAGGGCCTGTCACCCAGCGCCAGTCCTTTCTGACCATGAGTCCCCCAACCAGTGACTGAGATCCCTGGGCCTCGGCTTCCTAACCTGTGAAGTCCGGGCGAGAACTGGGCATGGATGTAACCGCATAGGGGAGCATAGAGCTGCCGCTGCAGCAGAACATAGTCCAGTGAATGGTACGGTGGCAGCTGCCATGTGTGTCATCCTCTATGACCTGGACCTCACTGCCCATCCTTGGCTGTCACCAGGCAGGGAGACCCAGATGGTGCAGGTTGAGCCAGAACACTGGTGGGTGTTGGGGGCTTAGTGCGTTGCGTGGCCCCCACATGTATATGTGAGCGGCTGCCTTGCTACACGCGATCCCACACTTCCCACCCCTAGGCCCCCACTTCCATGGTCTCTCCTGAGGCTAAGGAAGCCCCAGTCTGACCCCTCATGTCCTGAGCCTGCACTGGGCTCCTCTGGGTACTTGGCATAGAAGCACAGGCCCCCCCGCCTCCTGCATTCCCGCTCATTGCCATCGAGTTTCAAGCTGAGGCCTCCCTCCTGGGTGAGGGGACACAGCAGGCACTAGGCACTAGGGCTCCTGAGTCCCCGGCAGGCCAAGGCTTGATCCCACCTCCCACTGGGGAGACTGAACCTCAGACACAGGGACCGGTCACAGGGCATCGGGCCATTACCAGGGCTTTGCGTGTGTCAGGCGGGCACCATCAGGCCTCACCCCCACACGGCAGCCTGGCAAAGACACATGGCATGTCCACTGTACAGACGAGAAGGCTGAGACCCAGGGAAGGACCTGAGATGTCAGGGTCACTGGGGGACCGTCTGGGTGGGGGACTCCCACCCCGGTGCCCACAGATACACTTCAGGGGTCCTCGAGTCTCCGAAATTGCTGCAGCATTTGTGTCTACAGTTTTGGAGGGAGGAGGAGAGGCCACAATTTGTTCGCTTTCCCGTGGGGGACCCCCACGGAGGGAAACCCTCCTGGTTTAGAACATAGGACCGTATCGACCACCTCTGGTTAAGTCTCGGAAGACTTGGCTTTTTTTTTTTTTTTTTTAAGAAGACTTGCTGGGGCAGGTAGCTGGCACACTCTGGGAGATCAAAGGGTCTACCCCTGATCCCAGCAGTGGGGTGGGGGAGTCAAACTGCTGGTCCCCCTGGCAGTGGGGCATTGGTGAAGGTGATGCATCTGCCCATGCCTGTGTCCCCAGGAGGAGACGCCTCTGTTCCTGGCCGCCCGGGAGGGCAGCTACGAGACCGCCAAGGTGCTGCTGGACCACCTGGCCAACCGGGACATCACCGACCACATGGATCGCCTGCCCCGCGACATCGCGCAGGAGCGAATGCACCACGACATCGTGCGGCTGCTGGACGAGTACAGCCTGGTGCACAGCCCCGCACTGCACGGCGCCAACCTGGGTGGCGCGCCTACCCTGTCACCCCCACTCTGCTCGCCCAACGGCTACCTGGGCAACCTCAAGCCCACCGTGCAGGGCAAGAAGGCCCGCAAGCCCAGCACCAAGGGCCTGGCCGGGGGCGGCAAGGAGACCAGGGACCTGAAAGCACGGAGGAAGAAGTCCCAGGATGGCAAGGGCTGCCTACTAGACAGCGCGAGCGTGCTGTCTCCTGTGGACTCCCTTGAGTCGCCCCACGGCTACCTGTCGGACGTGGCCTCGCCACCCCTCCTGCCCTCCCCCTTCCAGCAGTCTCCATCTATGCCCCTCAACCACCTGCCTGGCATGCCCGACACCCACCTGGGCATCAGCCACCTGAGTGTGGCGGCCAAGCCCGAGATGGCAGCGCTGGGCGGGGGTGGCCGGCTGGCCTTCGAGGCAGGGCCGCCACGCCTCTCCCACCTGCCTGTGGCCTCCAGCACCAGCACTGTCCTGGGTACCGGCGGTGGCAGCGGGGCCGTAAATTTCACCGTGGGTGGGACCACGGGCTTGAACGGCCAGTGCGAGTGGTTGTCGCGGCTGCAGAACGGCCTGGTGCCAAACCAGTACAACCCGCTGCGAGGGAGCGTGGCCCCAGGCACACTGAGCACACAGGCCCCGGCCCTCCAGCACGGCATGATGGGCCCGCTGCACGGCGGCCTCTCTGCCAGCGCCCTGTCCCACATGCTGAGCTACCAGGCCCTGCCCAACACACGGCTGGCCACCCAGCCTCACCTGGTGCAGACCCAGGTGCAGCAGCAGCCGCCAAGCATCCCGCCACACCTCAGCGTGAGCTCGGCCGCCAACGGCCACATGGGCCGGAGCTTCCTGGGCGGGGAGCCAAGCCAGGCAGACGTGCAGTCGCTGGGCCCCAGCGGCCTGGCCGTGCACACCATCCTGCCGCAGGACAGCCAGGTCCTGCCCACCTCACTGCCATCTTCTCTGGTCCCACCCATGACCACTGCCCAGTTCCTGACGCCGCCCTCGCAGCACAGCTATTCCTCTTCGCCTGTGGACAACACCCCCAGCCACCAGCTGCAGGTGCCCGAGCACCCCTTTCTCACCCCGTCCCCGGAGTCGCCTGACCAGTGGTCCAGCTCGTCCCCACATTCCAACATCTCCGATTGGTCCGAGGGCATCTCCAGCCCGCCCACCAGCATGCAGTCGCAGATCCCCCACATTCCGGAGGCGTTCAAGTAAACAGCTGCCCGCGCAGCAGCTTCCTTTCCCAGGCTCTGCTGGGGCGCTGGCCCGTGTGCCCCACGGATGCCGGGCCCACCAAAGGAGCTTTTTTTTTTAAAGACATGTTTTTATACAAAATAAGGACCTGGATTCAAAAAAAATTTTTTTTTAGTATTTATTTATGTACTTTTATTTTACATGGAAACACTGCCTTTTTATTTATATGTACTGTTTTCTATGGCACCAGCTAAAGACTTATCTTCCAGGAAAATAAACTAGTTCTGTCATAATTTTCCTACTTAGGGTCAAGATTGTTACGTATCTGGAAAAAATATAAACAAAGATTCATGATTTATAAATGCCATTTATTTATTGATTTCTTTTTTTTTCAAAATCCAAAAAGAACTGATGTCGGAGAAGGGAGGTTTGAGCCAGCACCATCCCAAAACCTCCTGGGTGCCTCGGGCAGCGCAAACCTCCACGCCCCCTCCCAGCATCTAGAGATGCAGCGGCCGAACCTTCACATCTTCGGGACATGGGTGGATTTGCATCTAACAACGAACGTAAAATGTAAAATGACGTGGTTTATGCGTTTGGGTGCTTGTTGGTGATTTTTTGGAAAGCGTGCTTTCAGCAGTGTATTCTTGGTGTCCTGAGAGTACATTCGTGGTACCAATCATGAATCTTTGTTTCAGGTTCAGTGTTACGTAGTTGTTCATTGGTCTTGCCAAGTCTTGTTCCTTTTGAAAGCTCTTCTGCCCCCGGTCCTTCTTGATGTTTAAGCAAGGAGCCAGGTGTGGCTGTGTGGTACCCACCTTGGCCCCACGTGGAGGAACCCTACCCTTTTGTGGGGAAAGACTGCCTGGGCTACCCCGCCTGAGGCGCAGCACCTTCCAAGCTCACGGAAGGTGGACTGGCGCCATCGGGGCCTGGGCTCAGCTCATGGGCCCCAACTGCGGATAGGCCCCGTTTTTATAGAAGAGACTTGCCAGAGCAATAACCTACACTGAAGTTTTGGAAAAACGTGGCTGTATCTGGCCTTGGTGTGCGGAGGCCGCTCTTCCGGGAGCCTGGTGGAGCTCAGCGGGGCGCAGCTGAGGCGGTGGGCTGGGGGCGACGGGAGCCTGCTCGAGGGACACCCCTCCTGGTTTAGGGGGGCCAAGCTCGGAGGTGGAGCAGATTCTTGCAATATCAAGTATAAGCCTGTGGCAAAATAAATGTCTGTAAATACGTTTTTAAAGGTGGATTTTGTTTAAAAAATCTGAATGAACAAGTCTGTCAGGGGTCATGCTGATGAGGGGTGTCAGAACGGGGCTCCGCTCACAGCCCAGGCCTTGCAACCTGCTGCTGCCGACACCAACACCGTAGCTCCTAGGAGCGGACCCAGGGAGGCCGCCTGCACGCTCGGGCAGGTGTCCACCTCCCGGGGCGGCTTCTCTGGCCTCGCTGGGGTCAATATTGTGCTGTCCCTCATGGGTATGACCAGACACATCCTAAGATGTTGATTCTTACTGTGTTTTATAAAATAGAGTGTAGTTTACAGGGAAAGGAACATTTTTTTTAAAGTTAACTACATATAAAACTGTAGATGATAAAAATGATGTATTTTTTTTTCATCTTTTTTTGTTAACTGATTTGCAATAAAAATGATGCTGATGGCCATCCAGATTTTGCAAAACTTGGCTGTGGTGTTGGCTCCCATTCTGGGAGGGTGGGAGGGAGGGGCTGGCTGTTCTGCTCTGAGGCAACCAGAGCCCCTCTGCCCCTTCTGACGGGAGGGCATGGAGAGACCACCCAGCCCTGGCCTGGGGGGCCCTGGGGCCACGCTGCCTTTTTAGTTTTACAACTGTCTCTGCATCTGCCGGGGGCCAGTACCCACCCCCGCCCCCCAGCAGGGCACTTACAGCCCATTGCCGGGGACTCATATCTGGGGTGACACCAGGGCTCTGGGCTGTCCCATCCTCCTGGCCACTTACCCAGCCTGGGGTGATGGGCAGGGAGCACATAAGGAGATCCCTCCAGACCCTATTGGGAGGGCAGAAGCATTTGAGCACAGCCTCCGAGGGGCTGACGCAGTGGGTTGGGAAGGCTCTGAACCCAAGAGGGTGCCGCGGGAGTGGATGCTGTCACCATTCCTGCTCAGGATGGGAATCCCAGGCTCAGAGCTGTGACATCTGTGCTACGAAAACGTCATTTATGCAGAACACGACAGGTGCCAGACGGGAAGGGCCTCAGAGTTGGATTTTCCACACAACCTTGGATTCGTAGCCATTCTGGACTTCACAGCATGGGATTATCAGTAAACATTATCAACGTTTATTACGAACCTGTGACTGTCTATGGATTCGTGCTACTTCCTACGAATCCGTATGTTTCTTTGATGAGATTGCATTGCATTTTGTAGTGAGTGACCCCAGGTCAAGGCAAACCTCTACACTGTACCACAGCTCACATCACTTCATTTTTTTTTTTTTTAATGATTTTATTGGGGAATTGAGGGAGGGGAACAGACAAGTTGCTGTCCTTTTGTTCTTCAGTCTAGTTTTGGAGGACGTTGCTTCACTGGCCCATGTTGGTATTATCATTGTGCTCTTCCTGGGTGAGGCAGATTGGTCACCGGCCTCTGGACAGCCACTCACGGCGGCTCACGGCAGCTCACACCGGCTGCCGGCTGCTCACGCTGGCTGCCGGCCACTCACAGTAGCTTATGGCAACCCACTGCAGCAGGGGCTGCAGCCTACGCCATCGCCGGCAACTCATGGCAGCCCAGCTCTAGGTCAAGCTGTTGTTCACCGTCTCAGCTGTAGAGGTGCAGTGTTACCGGCCCTCATGTGGAATCCGAACCGGGGTCCTGCTGCTCAGAGCTGGCGTCCCAAGGAAACTCCTAAGCAACGCGCCACTCGGCCGGTCCCACTTCACTTCATTTTAAAGACAAGGCCTGGAAAAGTGTGTGAACTTCAGTGACGTTCCTTGTTCCCCACCAACCATTTCCTTATCTGTATAATGAAGACGCTGACCTGGACCGACACTCTCCCTGGCCGAGGACCTCACGGTCACCAGTGCTCCTAGTGGGTTCAGGCTGAGGCTGAATATCAATCAGCCTTATTAAAAAGCAACACTTACCAGTCCCCATAGCAGAGTATTACATCACTAAGCCCGGAACTTGAAAAATGAACTTCCTCTTGTGCCCTTAAGTCAACTCTGGGAACACTTACGGAGCATCTGCTATCAGTCGACGCCTCCCACCCAGAAACAATGACCCCCCTCTCCCAGAGGGTGCAGTCTGGGGGTGATGGGGAAGCCAGAAACCTTCCTCTGGCTGCATTAGGGCCAGATCCTGAACGAGCCTGGGTGTCTGAGCCCCGAGGAGCCCCGAGCCCCAGAGGAGCCTCCGGCAAGGCGATGGCTTGCCAGGCTCCAACCGCCCTCTCAAGGCAGCACTCTGCTTCCCCCTGCTGGCAGCACCCTGCCAGTACCCCCTTTGGCAAGCGGGTCCTTCTGATGGGGACTTCCGTCAGACCCGGTGAGTCACGAGGCTTCCGTCTGCACCTCGCCTGACGATGATGGCCACTTCCTACGACAGTGTTGTACCATTCAACAGATGAGGAAGCTGACGCTCAGAGAAGTGGTGACTTCCCCAGGTTCACCCATTCAAGCCAGGGCCAGAAACTCCAGCTCCATGTTCTTATAACCATTTGAGGGGTCATCTTCCCTAGGAGGACTCGGGGGCGGGGGGCCAAGAGGGCCTATGTCACTCAGCCTGTCACTCTTCAGACAAAGAAACATGCTCAGGGAGGGACTTGCCAAGGTCACTGCCAGGAGTTCATGCCACAGCCAGCCTGGCACTTGGCAACCTGAAAATGTTGGCGTTCTTCCCAGCTCCACCCTTTTCTCTCCTCAGTCCACAGCCCCCCCGCTTCTGGCCTCCAAGTCCACCCCTGGTGCTTAGGACTGTCACCTTCCTGTCCTGTTTGTTCCCTGGGCTGATGTGTGTGGAGCACCTGTGTGTACTGGGCTGGGGACTGCGCCTGCAGCTGGCAGCAAGAACAGAGTCCTGCCCTCGGGGTCAGCCGGGCTTTGGTTCTCCCCACCAGTCTGGCCCCAGCAGCCTTGCCACTCACCTAGGGGCCCCACGGCCACCTCCTGGGCTCCCGACTCTCCCTAGTGCCCTGCCAGAGAACCCGGGGGAGCTAAACTGATGATGTCATTCCTGGCTGAAAAGCCCCAGAAAGCTTCCCTTGCTTTCAGAAACCAAGTGCAAATCCCCTCGCAGGGCCTGTGGGGCCCCCCGCAATGCAGACCCACCAGCTGCCATGCCATAGCCCACTTTCGGGGCTTCTGCCCCTTGCCACTGCAGAAGCTTCTGTTTGCTTCCATCACAAATGCTCCTTCTCCTCCATCCCTGCCCCTATCCCACCCCCAGCAAGTGGGATCCAGGCACCCTCCGCCTACACTGGCCATTCTCAGTGGTCTATGCTCCCAAACAGTAGAGGCCGGGCCTGTCTGTCCCACGGCCACAGCCGCAGCTCCTAGCAGTGCCTGGCAAGCAGTAGGGGCTCAGTGAACGTCTGTGTAGTATTGGGGAGGCATCTCCCAGGGCCCCGCCGCAGCTAAGGGGCCACCGTGCAGGTTTCCTGCTGCTCCGGTTCTCTGTGGCCCCATGTGGGTGCAGAATCAGCGTCTTCCTCGTGCTTTCCACTTCATCCCTATCACTTATTTTTCACCTCAGACGCTTCGTACCCGGCTCAGTGATTCAAAAGGAAGTTCTCTGAGACGGCTAGGTGCCAGGCCTGTCTCCAGACACTGAACAGGAGCGAGTGCTGTGCTCAGGCTAACACTGACGCGGATGACGGTGACGCCAAGCCTGGCCATGTCAGCGCTTGGCAGAATGTGGGTTTGCTCCTGTAGGTCCCCCAGGGGTCTGGGGTGGCTCTCACGGGGCTGGTCTTACACCCCGGTCTGCACCCTCCTAGAGGTGCCCCTCTCCTGACTCTCGGCCTGGATGCACTCTGCAGGTGCCCGCACACCAACAGGGGCCTGACACTCAGATGCACAGAACACACTTAATGCCTGCAGATCTGCTTTCTCCTGGAGGACCAGACTCGCAGCTCTGCCTCTCCAGCCACCCAGTCCTCAGCCCTTATCGCCTCCTCTGGAAGCCCTCCTTGCCAGCTCACTCCACCTCTGAGGCCCTAACGCGTGTTTCCCTGGACTGTTCAGCCAGCCCTGTCTCACGGAGGCTGCCCCTGCCTCTCTCCAGGCCGAGCTGGGCACGCCCCCCCACCTGCACCCCCAGCCTCAACACCCAGAACTGAGGGTGCGTGTCAGGCACTGAGCAGAGCACCTGGCATGGAGCAGGCCTGCACTACAAACATCCACAAAACACACTAATGCACCTACCTTATGCCAGGGGTGGAGGTGGGGTGACAGGGAGTGAAGAGCGGTGGCATGTGGCCCGAAACTGCAGCCCCACCCCCAAGGGCTCCTTGGTGGCTGGTCTGGCTGGTAGGTGGTCAGGAGAGAGCCAGCTTCACAACTGAGGAGGCTACAAGCCCCAGGCTGAGATGCTGAGTGGAGGTCCCTAGCCTCTTCCTCAGTGTGCTCACCATCTAGACCCACACTGTCCAGTGGAAATATAATGCCAACCACTATGGAATTTTTAACTTCCTAGTAGCTACATTTTAAAAAAGGAAACAGATAAATATTAATAGTATATTTTATTTAACTCAACATATCTAAAACTTTATTTCAACATATAATCAAAAGTTGACAATGAGGGCCGGCCGAGTGGCGCGATGGTTAAGAACTGGCTTGGGACGCCAGAGGGCCCCGGTTCGGATCCCACATATGAGGGCCAGTGACACTGCCCTCTACAGCTAAGATGCTGAACAACAGCTCAACCTGGAGCTGGGCTGCCATGAGTCACGGACGATGGCGTAGGCTGCAGCCCCTGCTGCAGTGGGTTGCCACAGGCTACCGTGTGTAGCCAGCAGCCAGCGTGAGCGGCCAGCAGCCGCAGTGAGCGGCCATCCAGAAGCCAGCCACTGATCTGCCTCGCCCGGGAAGAGCGCAATGATGGTGCCAACTTGGGCCAGTGAAGCAACGTCCTCCACAACTAGACTGAAGAACAAAACGACAGCAACTTGTCTGTTCCCCTTCCCCAATTCCCCAAGCGCTGTTCCCATCCCCCAATTCCCCAATAAAAATCTTAAAAAAAAAAAAAGTTGACAATGAGATAATGGCACTCGGGCATTAGAGTTCAGAACAGCCTGTCAGGTGCTCAGTGGGGGTCTCCTTAGATGGCAAAGACCAATGGGAGAGGCCAACTGTCATAATCATGGAAAGGACAGGGTTCTCTGGCATAGCCTCTGCCCATTGTCCGGGCAATTGTGCAGCCCTGTGACCTGTGTGCTCTGGGCAATGTGACAATAACTCCGTCATGGGACTTTGCACGAGGAACTACAACTTTGCCCCCAGGAAAGAGCGGTCATTCTAGCCCACTTGGGGAGGGGAGGGCTTCAGGGAGGTGGTGACATTTCTATCGGGAGGAAGGAGAGAGGAGTGGACACTGCAGGCAAAGGGAAGGGAGCCTGATCAAGAATCCCGACGGCCGTCCTGGCAGCACGCCTCCCAGGCACAGGCGACTGAGTGTTCTGCAGCCACAGTCATGCCAGTTTGCCCAGAACAGTTCCAGCACATCGCGTGCATCAACAGCACCTCCTTTCAGTCCCCAGATAGTCCATGTGCTCATCCTGCTTGAACCCCAGGTTTTAAGGAGGACCATCAGGGAGGTTAAGGAAGCTGGCAAAGGGCACACAGCATTCTAGGTAGCAGGCTGGGCCTTAAAGCAGGTCTGTGGCTCAGAGGCCTGGCCTCCACGGCCCAGAGGCCTGATAGCTCAGCCGTGAGCCCAGGAACCCTCTTCCGCACCAGGCTGCAAACAGCTGAGAACCCGAGAGGGCCTCCCTCAGACAGAGGCTTGGCAGGCTGGAAGAGGGGACGGGAGGAACGCCCGAGGTCCCTGCAGGCCAACCAGCTGGTCACAGCTTTCCTCCAAGTCGCCCTGTGGGAACCAACACAAGGCTGCCTCTTTAACAGCCCCAGGTCTTCCATTTGTCCATGGTGGGTTGATCTCTGCAGCTTAGGGTCCCTCCAGGTTAGAGCTCACCAGGCCGACCACTGAGCTCCCCAGGATCCCAGAGGGGCAAGTCTGGGCTCCAGCTCTTGGGCTCTTTGAACTCAAATGAGAGCAAACAGGAGGCAGGCAGCCCTGAGCCCGGGGGAGTCAGTGCTTCACCCCCACTTTCCCCTCTTCCAGGAGGAGGGCTAACAGTGACATCTCTCTGTGGGGCACCTTGTTGGGAGAAAGCAACTGCAGAGCGCAGTGGCCCCCGGGAAGAAGGGGATCCGGGCAGTGGGGCCCAGGGCTGAGCTCCACGTGTTCCCAACAGCCTAGGAACTCAATTTCTGGAAGGCAAATGTTAGCTTAGCAGCAGAGTGGCCACGTCAGATGGGCTGAAACGCTCCCCACACCTGCCTGAGGCTCTTGACAGCGTGGCTGCTCCCTCGCCAGTGTCACAGCAGACACATAGCTGACCACACGCCTTCCTTCTTCCCGGGCCTCTGGTTCCCACCGGTGACCAGCGTGCCCTCCAACTCCGGGGCGCGCACCTCAGTCACTGCGGCAGTAGCAGCAGCCGTCAGTGCGAGCTTGGCTGCCAGGTGCTGTGAGACGGGTACACTTGCTGCCCTTCCTGACCTCCGGAAGAAGCTGGGGCGAGTGGGGCGGGCTGCTGCTCGTCCTTGTCCTTGCCAGGTAGCTGTGCAGGTGAGCAGGCCGGACGTCTCTCCCGTTTCTCATCGGGAAAACGAAGATACAAATGGCAGCACCCTTTCTTCGGTAGGATCCTCCATGGAGGGCTCAGGTGGTACCTACCGGGTGGGCGCACCAGGACGAGGCAGCAGCCGCCCGGAGGTGCAGGACGCTGAGACCCAGCAGCCTAGCCTGTCGCTTGGTACCTGCGGGGTGGCGCTCATTCAACCTTTCACGGGGCTCCGGCGGTTTTGGGGACACTACTGGGCACGGGGGAAGCCGCTGCTCTCCGGGGCACGAGTCATGGGCCTTGAGGGTATTAGGTCAGACAAAAGAGGGGCTGGGACCTGCGCGCCCAGAGTGGGGAAAAGGACCGAACAGATGGTGTGCATTGGGGGCGGCTCAGAGGGGCGGGCGGAGGTGACGGCCAAGCCGGGGAGGAGGGGTCTGGGAGAGGCGGTGGCGTGCTGGGGTCCGACCCCCGAGACGGGCGCAGGCGGGCAGTGGGGCTTCGACGGCGGCCTGTGGACTGGGGCTGGCGGCGTCTTCCCCTTCCAGGGCTCTGTGGAGAGCAAATGGGCATTGCTTCTCGAGAGCTAGGTGTGGACAGAAACCAACTTCCCCAGCGGAACGAACCCGGAGCCGCCAACAGTCCGTAACCAGGCAACCGGCCGGCCGCCGCGAGGTGCGCACGCGCACTCCGTTGCGGCGGCCAGCGCATGCGCTGTCACCTGCCGCCCGTCTCCCAGACTTCGAACCCCAACAGCAGAAGGGGAGGGACGCGCCTGCGCCAGGGAGCCGTTCTGGTTCTCGGCTCAGTCAAGTAGCTCTTCTCGGCGGGTGCACCTGCTGGCATCAGTCGTTCAACACTGGTTTTTCCCTTGGGTTTGACTGAAGAATCCCTACCCTTCTCACATCCTAGAACGAGAAACGGCTACAAGAAAGAGCAGGCGTCACCGGAGCGACGTCCTCAGGCAGCCCCCGGGCTCGCCCTGCCGGGCAGGTGGGCAAGGGGCGGGGCCAAGGAATGGGCGTTGAAGGACTGGACTCGTCGCGGGGCGGGGACAGGGGGAGGGACTAAAGGATGAGGCGTTGAAGGACTGGACGCCGGCGGAGGTGGCCGAGGGATGCGGCGGTGAAGGATTGGACGCAGGCTGGGGGCGGAGCCAAAGATAGGCCACGGTGGAAGGATGCAGGCAAGGGGCGGGGCTAATGCACGAGGCAGGGCGAGAGGTGGGTGGGGCCAAGGAGCGGAACGGAAGGCTGGGCTTGAAGGATTGACTGGACGAGGCGTGAAGCGAGGCAACGGCGGCAGAGCGAAGGGATGGGCGGTGGAGGACTGGATGCTAGAGAGGGTCGGGCGAAGGGGCGGAGCGGAGCGTCGGCAGAGAAGTCGATAGGGGCGGGGATAGTGTGGGGGAGCGTCACGAGAACTGTGAGAGGCGGGGCTCGCTGGCGTGGCGCGCGCTGACGTTACGGCCGGACACGTCGGCGGCGCAGCGGCCGGGGCGACCGGAGCCGGATGTGCCAAAATGGCTGCTGCCGCTGCCGTGTCTGCGCTGGTCTTAACTGCCCGGCCGGCTTCTGCCCGCGGCTCCTGAGGGGCGGGCGCGCGGGGTCGCGGAGGGACCCGGCGGGAGCCAGTGCGGGCCTCGGCCGGCCTGAGGCGCGCCGGTGAGGGCCGGGGTCTGGGTGGAGGGAG